CCTTCCATGTTAAATGTAACTCCTCGTTGTGAAGGGAAGAGACTGAACTGGTGAGTGCTTCCTCATTGCTTTGTTCCTCAGGGTGTTCACTACTGGCCCTCTTCCATCCCTTCCTCAGGAAAAGATCACGAACCCTTCCAGATTTATGCTCCTGGAATCCAACCAGGTGCTTCAGTAGCACATAGCTCAGGTTAACTGTCAAGCATGTGTCAGCTTCTTTTTGTCACTTCTCTGGCAAGCATACTTGGAAGTTGTACATGTCAACTTCCCTCTGGGTGGTGTTGGAACAAGCTTCCTTCCCCGCTGACCCCAAGGCAGTAGAATTCAGCAGAAGTAACATTAACAAGAATAAAGTCATAGAAGAAAGAGTTCCTATGGGAATTGTGTTCCTCACAGTTAAACATAAGATCTGAGTGGAGGGGTGTGGGAGGGGAAACAGTCCACACCCAAACCCCTGCAAATACCTGGCCTGTTTTCCTGGGTTCACGGAATTGTGTTCCTCACAGTTAAACATAAGAGCTGAGTGGAGGGGTGTGTGTGTGTGGGAAACAGTCCACACCCAAACCTGGCCTGTTTTCCTGGGTTCACAGGTACAAGATACAAATATATATATATTAGAATATCCACTTGAAACAGATGCAAGGGGACATCGCACTCCAACATCTGGGGTGAAGTGCCCCCTACTCCAGTCAAAAACTACCAGACTGGTTGCATCACACTTATTTACATTCCTTGGGACAAAGGGAGGGAGAAATGTTTGTTACCAACAGCCCTGTCTGGGTTTTATACCCCTTTAGCAGAACTTCAGTTCTAGGCAATGAAATAGGTAAAGAGAAACATGCTTTCCAGTGTAGCAGAACATGCAAATAGACAGTGGCAAGTTTGGTGGAACTACTGCTAAGTCATATTTCCATGACAGGAATAATAAAAAAGCACATTTTCTATCTTATCCCAATGTAATGGGGAAAGGAAAAAGCCTAAGTGGCCTCTATAACTAATATCACTTTCCCAAATACGTTGCCTGTACATCTTTGCAATTGGCTCTTTAAAAAAAAAGGTGGAGCTTTTTATCCAGTTTGCTAGAGATCCATCCAGAAAGGCTGCTGCCATTTTTATTCTGTGTTTTACATTATATGCTATTTTACACCATGTGTTGTTTTATTGCTTTACAATTGGTTTGATGTTAGGTGTTATTTGCCTCATAAGCTGTCCATAAATATTTGTTAAATCAATCAATCAATCCCCAGCATGAATGGTCTGAGGAATTTAGAGAAAAAATGGCAAAAAGCTTCAGCACCTTGATAAATTCTAGATTTTTGTGGCCAAAGGCAACAGTTAGATCTTGCACTTTCTATGGAGAGGAACAAATGTTACTCCAAAACTGATGACAGAAGCCTTAGTTATATTAAATATTCAGCTATCTTACAGCACTTATCCTGTATCCTTTTAGCTACCTTCATAACTATTCTATCTCCAAGTATGTGGCACATCAGGCATATACTACTCCACCACAAACATTTGTCCCTGTAACTCCATTAGTATTAGAGAGCTTTTGTCTGGTAGCATGCTGAGCAGTAGCTTGGTAGACTTAGCTCAGCCGGCAGGTAGTTTGCACAACAACTGGTATTCTAATATCTATCTTTAATTGTTCAGTTGCTAAATGTTTTCACATGTGGAATTTCAGTGCACACTTGGCCTTAAGCTATGTGTGAATGCTGCTCATGCAGCACAAAAAATGGAAGAAGAATTAAATAAACATAAGTGATGGTGTTTTACATTTGGTGTTGTCCTCATTTATGGAAATACCTTTAATTTCCTAGCTCTGTTGGTATTCCAACAAAGACTCTTAACTCTTATCTGCTTAGCTTGCCTCACAGAAGGATTTACAAAAAGGTCCCAGCAGAATCACATGCAGAGAAAAAGACAGCAAATGAGATAGAGACACAGAGAAATAAGTGGATTGTGAGGGTAGTTATGACAATGGCTTGCATAATTATATGATGTCCTCTGTTTTGATGTGTTGTGCCAGGTATTTGTCTCACAATTTGTTCTTGGACAGAACTGGTCACTTGGAAATGTCAGAGGCTGGCTGAGGAGCAAGGGCTGAAATGAAGTGCTAAGCACTGGGGCTTGCATGCGTTTTTACTCACTCCACAGACTGATAGAAGCAGCTGTCCCACTGAGTCTGCCTCTTCCTGAAGGTCAGCCGGCAAACTGTTTGCTTCAAGACTCAGTCTCTGAAGCCAAAAATAATGTACAAATGAACCCCATGTGCAGTACCTTTGTACCCCAAAGTTATGCATGTCTCTATACTAATTTTTGCAAGGCCTGCACTTTTGGGACTAATGTGTAACTCCTGTTTGCTTGTTTCGAGACAGCTAAGTAAGAGTGTCTAGCTTATATAATGTAAATAGCAATGGCAGGCACATCACGAGGGTTGCCAGGTCAGTGGCTTTCCATTCCTGAGAGTTCAGGGCCAAAACCGGAGACTGGGAGGCAGGTCCTCAAGAATGTCACAAAATGGAAAATAATATGTCTCTAGCTTTGTGTGCTAGTCAGAGAGGACGCTGTCTGTTCAGGAAGGAAGCTCCCAGCTAGCACTGAGGCAGTGTTCTTTCTTCACAGGAAGCTTAGGTGGATTTAGGCCTATGCTAGGCCTTGAAGCTTCATGGCTAGGCCTCCCCCCCCCCAAGTAAGCCACGTGTCAATAGGTGAGGGGTCTGTCAAGGGGAACACCTAGAATGGAGAATTGTGAGATTCATAGTTAAAAAAATCAGACAATCCCATTCCTACATAAGACACCTACATAAGACAGACCATTTGGGTTTTCTGTACTGTCCTCTGAACAATTACGGTAGTATATTTGTAATGCACATACATCAAGCCTTTGGTACTGAGTCAGTGAGACCTGGGCTACCTGGAAGCTGGGAAGAGATGGGCCCCTACTTGTGAAAACCACCACTACTATGAAAGCAAGCTTTCTCTTTCTCCAGCACCATTGACCCTGAGATTTGCCTCTCTGTCTAGAGAAGCACAACAGTTCTCTGGTACTGCCAAATGGGAAACATACATGTAACCATCAAAAGAAGGTTACAGGTACTGTACTCCATTACTGATTCTCTGTTACTGATTTTGGCCTTTATTGTACTGGCCCTGTGTGGCTGTCCTGAAGGTCTCTCAGAAAAGGTAGAGAGAAAGGGCTGGAGAGAAAGATGGTAGCAACTGGCATTAGAAAACCATTCAATAGCATTGGATACTACAGATAGGAGAAGACTGCAGGGAACAAAGTGTAAGTTTGAAGTCAGAACCTCTGTCTGAAAGGAATTCCTCACACTTAAGAGTCCAGACAAAGTAGAATCTGGCTGAAACGTTCTTCTTATACACAGCGCTTTCAACCCCAAATATTCAATCAGATTAGGCATCCTTCAGTCTCGAGAGACTATGGTAATGTGCTCTGTATGGAGGACTTGGAACAGCGTCTAGTGTGGCTGAGGAGGCCAATTCGAGAGTGACAATCCTTTCCACACTGAAGACAAATACAGTCTGTCCCCTGTCCAGCTCCCTGATATTGCTGGTTTCAGGTCTGCCTCTTCAATACTCTTCATCAAATCCATGAGAAATAATGAAAGGGCAGTAAAATTCAGAAATAATAAAGTGTTAAAATGTGAAGTTCCTTTTATTTGCCCCTTGGCTTCTTTATCTTATTAATGCACATCCAGTGTCTTCATGCCTGATTTATGTTAATATTTGCTAGCCTGTAAAATGTCTCGTCTCTTGGGGAATAATAGTACAGTAATGTTGCTACTTATTGTTGATACCTGATCTTCAACAGCAGCTCATTGTCTGTCACATAAAACCTCACTGTGATATTTCCCAGGAGTACTGTGGTATGGAGCTATATGTGTATCTCTGTGTTGCAGCTGTTCAGAGAGCTCCTTTTTGCAAACTTGAACTGAATTGTTCTCTGTGATCTCCTAAGCCTCACTGCAAAAAGACAAACCCAAAGACCCATCTTGTCTTTCTACAAACACAGGGCACCTGCAGAAACCATCTAAGCCTCACTGCAAAAAGACAAACCCAAAGCCCCATCTTGTCTTTCTACAAGCCAAACACAGGGCACCTGCAGAAACCATCCTAGTTTCAACATATGGCTTTCCCAACACTATAGACTTCTTATAACGGGAGAGGAGGCTGTGGTGTGGCTATTAGTATTTGCAAAGTAGAGTAAGTAAATAAGCATCACTTAGCATTAAATAAAAGATGCCCAGAGGACTGTGACCTCCTATGTGTCACTTTTGGGTGGGCATCTTTCTTTTTCTCCCAGATGTGATTCTCAGTGTTGACGTCTAAAGGAAGCAATGAAAGAAAAGGAGAGAGGGGTAACTACACGAGAAAGAAACCTTGGGGAGGCAGAGACAGATACCAGATGGAGGTAATGCTGTCTAAAATCAAAGCGAGAAAGTCACATGCCTTTTGGCATCAGGAGAAAGTTGAGGCTGCAAGTGCATCATGCTGAAGGCTCTGAGTTTATAGAAGACAGAGGAAAAACATCTTGTAGAGTGAAAAAGGAGTTCAAAAGTGAAAGCAGAGATGAAGCCAGAGATTTGTTGCTCCTCAAAGTTTCTGGGCATGAGAAGAAAGAAGGCACCAGATGCTTCCTCCTGTTTCAGTCAAGTGTCTGCTAACCGTCTTCTAGGACACCTAGGCCTGCACTGTTTTAAGACTGCTATTGTGCACTACACCCACACGCTGCTCAGATCTCTTTGGAATTCTGCTGGCATAAAGGGATGGATCCGATTGCACAAGTTTTGCCAGGAGTGGCTCAGCCAAGACATCTCAGCATTGGCCTAGGAGGGGTTTCCACCACAGATCTTTACCCCAGCAATGACTATGAGGGCCCTCATTCTGCCACCAGCTAGAGATGGTGTCGGCCACTTGCCCAAACCCTTGAACAGACACTTTTAAATAAATTACTTGTAGTAAAAAGAAGGTTTCCACACCTGCGGCTCAATTCCTGCATTCTTGGTGGAATAGGACGGCCTTGGAGCTTGGAAGACTCCTTTAGCTCTTGGTGACAGGATTCTAGAAGAGTATTCAAAAGTTGACTCCGGAGATGCTTCAACACTTGTTCTCACATTCTGAGGTACAAGCATCGTTCCAGATGGCGAGGGGAAAAGACCAGGCAAAGATGTGCTTGGACTGGACTGGACAGGTGGATGAAAAACAGGAGAAGGCAGCAAGGGAGATGTCGGGCAAGAAGCTTGCCTCATATAACCGGGTTCAGGAACCGTAGCCTTTGGGGGTGGTGCTGCTTTGGGTAGAGATCCCACTGGATCTTTCACTGGGGAAAGGATGAATAAAGAAGGCTGGAGTTGATATGGCTGCTGCTTGGAGACTTCCAGCTCCTTTTTAGAAACCTCACCCTCCGACATGCTGCTATTGTACAGAGGTACATGAGGAGCTTTGGGAGATCTAGCTGGACTTCTGGGTGGAGGCTGGAATGACATGGCGGAGAGATGAGTTTCGGAAGCATATTTCCAGGATGGAGGAAGGGACATTGTCGGTGAAGGTGACCTGGCTGTGTCTGGATGTGATGGGGACTCAATTATGTACTTCTGCATCCTCGACTGCCTTTTGGCAAACAGTTCGGCTCCTTTCCCTCTTGCTTCTGACAGACTTTGGTTTGAACGGATCTTAGGCTTGGGCTGTATTCTCGGTGACCTTAAACATGATGACCACTCAGGTGCACTATCAGCAGGAGCCTGGGTGGGCTCTTCTATGGATCTACTTTCAGAGAGGAAGTTAGAGGCCTCTGCTCCCAAAACAAACGGCTCATCCTCAGGAATGGCTCCTCTTTGCCCTCTTTGCTTTTTCCAATTATCTGCTCTCTGCACTAAATTTAAGAGGTCTGGATTGGGAGCCACTTTGGGCTTCTCCACAAAAGTGAACATGGACTTCTTGGCTGCTCGGCGGGCTGCAGACTCCTCCAGGATGCCTGTTTTGGTTGGAGGACTTTCTCTGCTCTCCTCAGGCAGGGATCCTGGTCTGCTCTCTTCCCTCTTGGTGTGTTGAAGAGAGACTTCTGGAAGAGAGGCTTGTGGAATGGGGACGTGCAGAACAGCAGCTTGTGGGACTGGAGGTTGTGGTACAGAGGCTTCCACAAGAGGGGCCTGAGGAACAGGGTCCTTCTGTTCTTCACTAGGATACAGCGCGGAGTAGGCAGGTGGTGACCTGACCCTAGTTACTGGAGGAGGGCTGGAAAAGGTTTCTGCGTAAGTGGGTGGTGGAGGAAACTCTACCACGGGGCTTTTGTTTGCTGCTGGTGGTGTTTGGCTTGTCCTTGATGACTGAGTCCCAAAGGGTCTCGCTGTTCGGTTTTTCACAGGCTTTGGCTTAGACAAGGTCAAGCGTACCTCACAGTAGTGCTTGTCGGCAGAATGCGTCATGATTTCATTAGGCTGTACATCCTTGACAAGAGCAGGTTTCTCAGTGTCAGAAGTAGTGGAAAGGTTCTTGTTTTCTGGCAGGAGCAAATCTGTCTCCTTGCCGAGAACTTCTCCATTCTCCCTCCTGTCAACAATGGGTTCACTCAGTGCCTTGTCAAGAATAAAATTATTTTCCCTATCAATAAGAGGTATGTACGGCTCCTTGATGGGGATGTTATTATTATTCTCACTGCCAATACCTAGTAAACATGGCTCTTTTTCAAGAATATTATTTACTCTGTCTGCTTCCAGCAGGTGTGGCTCCTTTTCAAGAACATTGCTGTTATTCTCCCTGTCAGCAACAGGTGTGTCATCCACCAAAGGCGGCATGTTTTCTATATTATCAAAAACTGATACCTGTTCGTGAACAGGTGCATTTTCAAACTTATTGGTGGTACACTCATGCACTCCATTGGTTGAGGCTGTCCCTGTTGTTTCCTTTAGGTACACACTGAGAGGCATTTGTTCAAACTCCTCAGCGGAATTCTCTGTAGAAGATAATGTTGTCATTGTGGGAAGGCCCTGTGCATTATCCACAGCTAGGTTCTCCTTGTATTTTTCCATGGGACTCTTTGGCACCCACCGTCTGGAATCCTTGGCACCGGATAATCCTTTCAGCTCTTGATTGTCTCCGAAGGCCTGCTTCAAACAGGACTCTTTCCCATGGCTTGGAATGCTGTGGCAAGCAGCAGCTTGAGGGCCGTTCTCTCTAGCTGTTTGTTCTGTGCTGGCTGGCTTGGGGGTCTCTAAAGTAAATGCATTCACTCGCTGCTTGCGCCTGTGGAACAGCAGGACCCCTTTTGAGTTGGTGTTGGGTGGGGTTGTCAGCTGGGCGGCAATTCTCTGGCTTCTGGCTTTTGCTTCCTTCAACTCTTTTTCAGAAAGACTTGCGCTTCGTGAAATATCTGAGGAAGAAAAAGTATATGGAGGACAGTGTTAAAAGCAGGATCCTAGCAAACAAACACATCTCCGTACATGCATACACGCAAAGAGAGGGAGATATTGATTGATTGATTGATTGATTGATTGATTGATTGATTGATTGATTGACTGATTGATTGATTGATTGATTGATTGATTGATTGATTGACTGATTGATTGATTTATATCCTGCCTATCTGGTTTAGCAACCACTCTAGGTGGCTTATCCACCTTTAAAGGATAACGTTGGAATGTGTTCAGTAGCCTTTCCTGTTCTGGGTTTCTTCAAAAGCTAGCTAGCTAGCTAGCTATTTTATTTATTTATTTATTTACTTATTTACTTATTTACTTATTTATTTATTTAACTTATATGCCACTGACACTACCCAAAGGTCTCTGGGCGGCTTACAACAACTAAAATACAATAAAAAGTTAAGACAATTAAAATACAATTAAAATATGTACTCTAAAAATTGCCGTCAAGACCCACAGTTGGTATTATTTCAATTAAAAAGCCTTCTGGAACAGGAAAGTTTTGACCTGGCGCCGAAATGTCATCAGCGTTGGTGCCAGACGAATCTCAACTGGGAGGGCGTTCCATAGTCTGGAGGCAGCTGCCGCAAAGACCCTTTGTCTACAAGTCCTCCCTCTTACCTCCTTGAGGGACGGCTCTTTCAAAAGGGCCCCATGGCTAGATCTTAACTGCTGGTAGGTTCATATGGAAGGAGGCGGTCCTTCAAGTAGCCAGGGCCCAAGCCATTTAGGGCTTTATATGTCAAAAAAAGCACTTTGAAGGAACCTTGTGGCGCAGTGATTAAATCGCTGTACTGCTAAAACTGTGCTCACGACCTGGGGTTCAAATCCCAGGTAGACGGCTCAAGGTTGACTCAGCCTTTTATCCTTCCGAGGTCGGTAAAATGAGTACCCAGCTCGCTGGGGGGGGGGGCAATGTGTAGCCTGTATAATTAAATTATAAACTGCCCAGAGAGCGCTTGAAGCACTATGGGGCGGTATATAAGCAGCACGCTTTGCTTTGAATTGGGCCTGGGCAGCAACTGGTAGCCAATGTAATTTAAGCAGAATTGGCTTGATATATTCCCTAGCAGCCCCACCACTCACCAGCCGTGCAGCTTGATTCTAGTTAGTCATAACCCAGTCGAAAAACTAATCCATATCTAAATGTGAGCCATATACAGGCTGAAATCCTGTTGCTTAGCATAGTGAGCAACATTGGAATAGGTCCATTAAATCAGCAGCGATTTGGTGAGTCATCTCTTCTGTAAGTTCCATTGACTCAAATGGATCTACTTTACTACATTGAGCAAAGTAGTCCAGCTGTAATAGAGACCTTCTTCATTTAGAAGACTGGTTATTGGGAATCCATCAAATGTAAGATTGTCCTTTCTAAGTTATGATATATGTGCGCACACGCGCGCGTGCACACACACACACCAGGGACAGTGGGTGGACAGCTAAAATCAGGAAGTAATGGGGTGGACAAATAATGAAGACAGCAACAAACAACAACAGCAACTAAAGCAGACCACGTCTTTTCTCATTCCTGTTTTCAGGCAGGAAAAAAAGGCCATGTGCAAACATATTCCAGATGCTTTCTATAAACCAAAATTACATCAAAGGTTTGCAGGAGAGATAATATTTAAAAAACACCAAGCAAACCAACAATCAAGCAATTGCCAACCAAAGTAAATTAAATGCATTTACTCTTGATTTGGTTTAACAGGATTAAATCAAACCTACAGTAACATGAGGCAATAGAAACCCTACGATCAGATCGCTAGGAACTCTAAATTATGCGTCGGGTATGCAGTTTGGCAGCGATCTTTCCTCCACACTCCAGTCTCCCTACTGAATTATATGGAGCCCCTTCCTATTCCAAGGAGCACTGTATGTGTGTACAGTAACCAAATGCTTTATTGTAACCACGTTTAAGAACACACATACACCACCTTACTTTCTGTGCTTTTATATACGACCCTCATTTTTGCACACTAGTTCTTTGGAGGGAAGTCACTGGGAGGTTGTGTCCCCACCTTGCATGTAGCTTTGCTTGGTGACCGCAAATGACTGTATGCAAATGGAATTTATTGGACGACTTCAAAAGGTTTCAGGTTGCAGTTCATTTGGTTTCAAACACTCTGTACAAACACACTCCAAGCAGGAAGTTGGCCGGAGCTAAAGTGTCTCTCAGCTCTCTCATCTTCTCAGCAGCTTGGCCTAGTACAATGCACCGCAGTTATCAAAATTAGACAAATAAGCAGTTGTCATAACCCTGTGAGGAGCTCACCTCCCTGCACAACTGAGGCACAAAGCTGATGTAATAGTTCTGGATTGAATTTAACACAAGATGGCAGCGTCTGATAATAAATCAGCAACGTTTCAAGGTTCTTTGTAGGCATCCTAAAGCAGGGATTCCAAACTAATTAGTCCAAGAGCTTCCTAGAATAGAACCGACTTAGCATCTCATAAAAGCATGAAGTACAATCTGCTGGTCTCTCTCCCAGCCTACCTAAGCCAGTATGTAACAGGGAGAAGGGGAGTTGCCAGCTTTTGAAAGGTTTGGCTAAGGGTCATGGCAAAAGCTGCTAGTAGCCAAGCCCCAAAAGGATGTGGAAGGACACAGGATGCATTTTTCTCTGGGTGAGCCATTTCCTATGAGCAACTTTCCTAAAACTCCCATGATTTAATATATCTGGCAAGAGGAAATGTCAGAAACAAAGAGCAGCTATAAAAAACGTTTACAGTCAAACTGCTGACATTCCTGCTGAGGACGATGGCATAAGAGAGTTGTGGGATGACCTGCCCCAGCAACTCATTCTCCACTTCCTCTTTAGAGTCTCCATCTGAACTGGGCTCAGTGATCAGAATTATGTGACTTGTAAATGAGTTTTTGCCATGCTGTTACTAGCAAGAGTGCAGTGCAGTTTCTTTGAAAAGAAACCACAACAGGTTCAGCTTATACTCTGATTATGCTATATTAGACCTGCTAAGACCTGCCTTCTACAATTAGAGTTAATTATATGATGACTTTAGTAGTTGCTGTTAAGCTAAAGGTTCTCTTGGAGGCTTAATGATCCTAATGATCAAAGGCAAATTCCTATGCCCATAATTTCATAGGGAAGCACCTATCTTCCCTATATATACAATATATATACAATAGAACAAAATGCCACCAACAGCATGAGATAGTAGTAACACAAGCACAGAGCACCACAAAGGATGATTAAACAGTGAGGGAAAGAAAACAAGAAATTAAATAAAACCCAGGACAACATGTTATCTCTTTCAGATATCCCTAAGTCACCAAATGACACCCAGTGTGGTGCAGCACATATAGTGACAGCCTAGGATTCAAGAGACCTGGGTTTGAACTCCTGCTCAGCCATGGAACCTCATGAGTGGCGGCAGCAGTACTGGTGAAACCACTCCCTAATTATCTTGCCTTGAAAACACTATTAGGGTTTCTACAAGTCAGCTCCGATTTGATGGCATGTAACACAAGTCACCAAATACTCTGGAACTTGAGCTGTAGTGTCTCAGATTAACAGACTAGACTGCTCACAAAGTTCAGAGCTGGAGGTGAGCAATGTCAGAGCTTAATCGAGTTTGTGGCCCTGGTTTATTATAGACGGTGTACTGAATGGATCTTTGTTTGCAGGAAGAAAAATATCACATCATCTGACCTTATCCAGATCAAAAGTGGGGGTTTATGGAAAAGAACTGTGAAACTATAAAATCCCCTATATACTGTGCATATATAAATGAGGAGTAGAATTTTCAAATGCTGGCAAATCTTCCCATGTTTTGAAATCAAACAAATTATCAAAATAATAAAAATTAAAAGTATTAATGTATTCGCGAAGGCTTTCACGGCCGGGATCTAATGGTTGTTGTGGATTTTTCGGGCTCTTTGGCCATGTTTTGGAGTTTGTTCTTCCTAATGTTTCGCCAGTCTCTGTGGCCGGCATCTTCAGAGGACAGCACTCTGTGCTCTGGTGTAGTTTGCTTGGGAGTGGAGTATTTATGGTCATTCCCAAGCAAACTACACCAGAGCACAGAGTGCTGTCCTCTGAAGATGCTGGCCACAGAGACTGGCGAAACGTTAGGAAGAACAACCTTCAGAACATGGCCAAAGAGCCCGAAAAACCCACAACAACTAAAAGTATTAAGTTTTCCTCTCCTCCTTTTTCACAAAGGAAAAAGAAAATATTTTAATAAAATATTTTATTCTGTCTTTAACAGGGTGTAACCAGTTTCAGGATAATTATCACCTCCAGTTGTATTATTATAAGTTTGAGGTCTTAGCCAAGCACCTGAAAGATAAACAACCTGGAGATCTGACATGAGACCAGTAGAGTTGCTTCTTGAGAGTGCTTGATGGCGTGCTATGCCATCTGCCTCCAACTATGGTCAACCTGGATATTTATAAATAAACACAAATCCTTCAAGAACACTTCCAAAACAGAGATATTGAACATGTATTGCAAGTCCCATCATCCCCACCATCAGCTATTCTGGCCCTGGCTTATGAACATTGCAGTCTGACAGCTGGGATTTTCTGTAAAGGAAACCACTACCACTGGAATTTCCACACCACAGCAAAGTAGAGCAGGTGCAAAACTAGCCTAATCCTTCAAATTTACTTTTAAGTACTGTATTCCCATTGCTCTCTCTCTCTCTAGGTGCAACTCCAAAATTTTCTGCAATTTTGTATAGAAAAAGGGGATCTGTGGTAGACAGGTTGTAATCTCTGGACCTTCAGAAGAAAATGGAAGCATACTCTTTCCTGATCTCTTTTCCGCAGTGTTCCCATAGGAGATGTTTGTACGAATCATTGTTGGTATTGAATCAATAATAAGGAAGCTTTAACTGCATGTAGCAGAGACAGTCAGAGAAAGCAATTCAGTCCTGATAGCAATCCAGAACTCATACAAAATATATTGGTTTGTTATTTCACTTTTCCACC